TTTTTACCGGTTGAACCCGATCGTTCATTCCAAAATTTACCGGAATGATCAGCTGTTTGAAACCGGTGAGGCATCAAATCCACCGGGAATTTTTGTCGGTTTTTTCGGTTGGAGATTTTTTGGCACTTTTTTTTTGACGTAGGTACATTATTGGCATTGCTGCCGTACTATCGTTAAATTGCTGCATGCAGATTGCACAATAAAAAAATGTTTGTGCGTGGGCGTGGACAATTTTATCTTTATTCATCATGAACTCGACAAATCAAACACTCAGCTCACATAATCTACAAAAATTGTACTGAAAACTACCGTTTGTTGACTGTTAAAAATAATGTATTTTTATTATTTTTAATACTCACTGCAATCACAAAAAACCCATTCCAAACAACAATAAGCAACACTACCAAACTTTCACACCGAAGCGTTCCAAAATGCACCAGAAAAATCTTGTAACCGCACTTTCACCTAACTTTTACCGGATTTTTTGGCAGCTACTGGTTTATTTAACCAGTCAATTTATCGGTGAAATTTGGAAAGTGCCCATACTTACCTGAAATAGAATCCGTCACTGTCATCAATTAGTTTGTCAAAGTTATTTTCGAAAATGATACAACGAACAAACACAGCTAATAATTTTGACTATATTAACCTTTTTCCAACTCGAAAAGGAGCAAATAGAAAACGGGTACCCAATTCAAGTTCAGAATGTATTACAACGGATAGCAGATGCGACCAAAGTTAGTCTCGCAACAACCTCAAGTATTAAAATTCCCATCTGATTGGTCAATACTACTTCAGAAACGCGTTTGTAAAATGCTAGTGGGAACATATCCTGAAATTCAATAGTAATTAATCACCAGTAGCTTTTTGTAGGTGATATTGTGACAAAATTGGAATCTCAAGAAGAATAAACATTTTGGTAGCGTGAATAATTCTGTCACATCTTAGTTTACGTGGGTACCATAATTATGCTGAAAATTAAATTTAATCTGAAAAGGATCCTAAATACCAAATTTTCCGAACCGGAGGCAATCCAAACAGAAACCTCACTTCTTCTGTTCTTCGGTTATGGTTACTGCAAAGGGTTATAGATTCAAGATGACCTACCTTTTTATTGCCAAAGTTGCTAACTCCCCTCCTCAATTGCACAAACCGGCACGAAAGATCTTTTTCGGCCACTACCAGTGATTAGAGCAATATGACACCAAAAATGAAAACTCCTTTCTTTTAAAAAGAATAAAATTAATTTATTTAAAAAAAGAATGAATAATAAAAATAAAAAAAAAATAAAATTAATGAAGACAATGTTTGATTTCCAATTAAAGATTTAGACTAAACAAAAAAACAGATTTTAAAAGAAATTGAATTGAAATAAACCATCACCTTCTTTAGAGAGCTTTTCCACTAATCCCTGAGTGGTAGATGAACTTAGGAGAAGAACGAAGAACGGATCGAGCGACGACTGTGACGAACACTAACTCGTTAAGTTTTTGTTTTATTCTAACAATTTCCGACAATAGCTGCCGATAGCTTCATCAACTCTCGCTTAAATAAGCGAGAGAGAACCAACCCCTATTTCTTGAGGGTACTATTCTTAGCAGCTCATTGGCTAGCTGTTAGTACCTAGCCCTCTCCCATATTCCTTATTGCTCTTTCCTTATTGGTTCTCGTATCGTTCATCCTATTTACACCCTTAGTGACATAGTTTGAAAGCCCTCCAATAGAGTTCGCCAGTCATATGAAGAATATAATTTTAATAACTGAAAATTACCGTTTTTCCTTTAATTGGAAAATCCTACTTTCTATATGCCTTCTGTTAACCTAGTTAAATGAAACAAACAGTTTCTTAATTACTAATGTAACTGAGTAATAAACCTAATTACTTAGCCTAATCAACGGTGTGAAATGAATTAAATTATTCTATACTTAAATACTAATTATGCCTAAAATAATTGGATAGTTAACTATCTCCTTTGATTTTCCTATTACTATATGTAACTGAGTAATAAACCTAATTACTTAGCCTAATCAACGGTGTGAAATGAATTAAATTATTCTATACTTAAATACTAATTTATGCCTAAAATAATTGGATAGTTAACTATCTCCTTTGATTTTCCTATTACTATACAATTTTGTGTTATTGTATCTTGGAAAATCTGGTTCCCGTAATCATTGTTTCAGCCCAAACACATATGCTTCGAATATAAGTTCAGTAACAGTTCTCTGACATCTGGGTTCGCCATAAAACGTTGGGAATTATCGTTCTTGAATACTTTACTACAAACATATGTCGTAATCTGGTGCAGCTACAGATTAGAATCACATTTGGTGTTTATCTACACTGAAAAAAAAAGGTACACAAATATAGCGAAAAAGTGCATTGAGCCAGTAAATCTCGTCATTAATACTGAGCCGGTGAACGAATTTGTTAATATTATGAAAAGCTGTTCGTTAAATAGATGAAAAAAAGGTTCATTGATTTAACGGTTGAATTCATTGTCGCAGAGTAAGGATTCTATCATTTTGACGTATAGAATTCGTTGCCTGAGTGAAATAACTTCTTCAATATAATGTACAAATAACATTGGTTTAATGAATCGAATTTTCAATTTAATGTATGCGGTTTCATTGGCTTAACGAATGAATGCATTATCCTAGGCTCAGTTGCATGAACAAGAATATTCATATTATGGGTTCTCTGATCTCTCGCTCTTTCCTGCGTTTCCTTTTTTCTGTCTCGTGTCTGCGTCGCTGTTCTTCAAAAGTTTGTGGTCCATCGTGGACTACTCGACTCCGCGAGGGCCTATTGTTTGTCCTGGACTGTTACTGATATCGATGTGGCACTTTGCCAAAATTTCCTTTAGAACATCTTTGTAGCGTTTTTGTTGACCTCCTTAATTTCGTTTTCCATCTTTCAGCTGACTGAGAATATGTTGGGGAAGACGTGTTTCGGGCATGCGAACAAGGTGACCTATCAAGCGAAGTTAGTGCTTGATGATAAGGGCTTCCAAGTTAGTTGGGTTGGCCTCCTCTAAAACACTAATGTTCGTTCGTCGATCTGGCCATTTAATCCGTAGGATCCTTCTTAGGCATCGCTGCGCTGGTGGTATTTTTCTAGGCTTTTTATGTGTTTTCTGTAGGTGGTCCATGTTTCGCAGTTATTTATGTAAGTGTTGGTATAACAACTGTATTGTAGACACGAAGTTTGATCTCAGCGCTGATGTCGTGATTGTTGCAAACTCTGTCTAGAAGTCGCCCAAACGCCGCGCTAGCACACTTCAAGCAATGTTGGATTTCAGCGTCAATGGTTGCCTGCGCTGACAGATGGCTTCCGGGTATTGTCCCACGTTCTGCAATGTTTTCCGTACACTATAAATGAAGAAGTTATTCCACTCAATGAATACCTGAATTCCGAATTTCTTCCAAAAAGAGTTGAATTTAACACCAACACAAAATATAATTTCCGAATAATGTACGATATACTGTCGATAATATGGAGTTTGGGTGTGTTTAATGAATTCTATACGTTAGCATGACGAATAGGTCTATATTAAAACTATTAAATTCATTAAATTGATGAGTAAAGTTTGTTAGTTATAAACGTTCATTAAATCACTAACACATTCTTCAAGCTGATGAAACATATTCATTAATTAATGAACTCTTGGTCATTGATTCAATGCATAACTTCATTGACACAATGAAGAAAGTTTCATAAGCACGATGAACAAACTTTTTGGGATAAGAAAAAATCATTAATACAATGAATGTGATTTATGAATGATTATTCATAAAATCAAGGAATAGAATCACCTGATCTTCAAAGAAAGTTCCTTATACTGATGAAACTGTTCGTTCGAACAATGAAAAATAAAAATTCACGGGTTTTATGATATTAATGAACATCAATTCGTTACATTAAGGAACGAAGTCATTAGGCTATGAACACTGATTAATTGGATTGATGAAATATTTCATTTAATTAATGAAAAAAAAAATAACAACCGCCATTCGTCAATATTATGAACGATTTTTTTTTCAGTGCAGGAGAACACATAATTTTGCCTAATAAATTTGTCAATTTGGCTTATATTTAACTTGAAACTAATAAAATTTTATACATTTTGCTTTAAGTGTTTTCCCTTAATTCTCGACCAGATTAGTTATCGTTCCCAGAATCGCCATATGTTTGTAAAACCCATTAAGATAACATTTTAACTATTTCTAAAAACCGTCTCTGGTAACTCCCATGAAATACGTACTTGAACCGAGATTTGAAATTTACTATTAATTCTGTTACAAATTACCCTCCCCTTAAATTCGAAGCATGTTTGTACACTTCAAAACAATAATCACTCCCAACCAAACCTCCAAGATATAACACCTTATCCCGAAAATTATAAATACGTAATAAACGAGCGCACACACTCGCGAACTATGGGTCACGCGGATTATTTTTTTCGTTGTTCAATTGACACTATAGTCTGGCTAGCCAAACGGCGAACTCAAAAAGAATTTGCTGCTATGCCAAACTTGACAAAAACAATAATAAACAAGTTGGTGACATATTTTCTTTGGCAATATGTTCCGTGTACTTAGGCCGTGTAGTATTTTGAAATAGGAAAAAAATCCGGCAACATTACAAAATGAAGGAAGCGGAGAGGCGTGATCATTCAGAGGCGTGATTCTATTGGTTAGAACCTGAACGACAGCACCATTGGCGTGGTTATTCGTGAAACTCAAGAATTTTTTTCCTAATAGTTTTTTGGTTTATTTCCTTGGTGTTTTCGGTGCCACTGAACCCAAAGACATGGTTGTCATCAGGCGGTGTCAGTTGAGGTGTCAGTGAATATTCTTAGGTAACGCCCCACTTTTCTTCCCCCTGTCGTCTATACCAAGTTACCACTTGCCAAACTATACACGGCGCGGTAGTCTTCGGCAGTATTGGATAAAACGAACTGCTTGATTGTTCCTGGGGGGCGGTAGCATTAACTGACACTGGATTCAATTCATTCTTCTGGTCTTCTTCGTCCCGATCTCTTCTTTGGCTGGCTAACTGATACAAATATGTATGAGCTAAAGTATTCCACAGACTGGCTAAAAGGTATCGTCGGCGTCGTGGATGGTTAACTGTTGCTTCTTTGATGGTGAAATAGTTTGATACGACGCCGGCCAAATAACTAACTGCGCAAACTATGGTGTATAGGAACCCATAAATGGAAAAAAAAATTCCCATTTTAGATAAAAATCCCCACACTTCCTCAGCAGCGGAATGTGCTAAATTGGTAAATTCGGTTTTGCTGAACAAATTTGGCATGTAATAAGAGTCTGAGCTATCGAGGGCTATGATCCTCCTGGCAACTTGATTAGTTACTGCTTTTCTGGTATTTGGATATAGGAGAGTTTGCTGGAAGCTTTCCATGTCTTCCTTGGAATAAATTCCATTGGAACTGATAGGGGAGATGAAAATACTTGGCATTGATAGTTTGTCTTCTTCATCATTGGCATCTAATTCTAAAGCGTCGGTGGTGCGCTTTAGGTCAGCTGTTACTTCTAACCAGTTATTTTCCAACTTGAAATTAACCGGAAGTAGTGGTTGACATTCTACTTTGGTTTCATGTTCAACTAGGATGTGAGTAATAGCAGTTCTGTATAGTGATCTATTCAGATAGGTAACGGGAAGTTCTTGATAACATTCTGAAGTCTTTCGATAGTCTACGACAACAGCTCTACATTTAGCAATATAGAGTACTTCTCCCATCACTCTACTAACATATCCTGAGGTTTCTTTTACCAGATTACCCACTGCCTCGGGCGATTGTTTTGCCATTGCTAATCTGTTCTGTAATATCTTCTCTCTCAAATGACATCTCTTCATAATCGAGTCGTAGATGACATCAGCCATTTGTCTTTTTACTGCAATCTCCAAATACAAGAGTTTACTTAGTACTTGAGCCATCATGTCTGTATTTTGAGGAATTCGAATAGTACGATGGTAATAGAGTCCAACTGAATCCTCAAAAATTCAAGTAAGCGGTTTTGTTCAGTTAGCCAAGCCTTTTGAGCACAAATTTCTTCTGGCTTTGTCAGTTTTAAAGCAAAAACTGTATCTTCGGTTTCCACAACGACGTATCTATTAGTTGGGTTTCGACTTAATACAAGGAGAGTAGCGTTTCTTTCGTATAGTACGTCGACACGACTTGTAGAGCATAAACTAGATAGATGTTGTTGCCATGTAACTTCGCCTTCAACATCATCAAAACAATAACCATCATTGTACGGACAGACACCACCAGACCGTAGGGTAACTAGATTTCGTTCGAAATCGGCAATCGCAACATAATCTTGGAGTTTAATGAATATTGCGGCAGTAACTACGACGACATTAGTATATTGGATGGAACCCACGGCGAATCTCACACCTTTGCATCGACCATTGGCGTCGGCAAAACCTTGAAGAGTTGCCGAAACTTCTGTGGTTCCATTTAGATTAAGTTTGGAAATAACACCAGCTCCCATTCCTTTGAGATCTAACTGACGGAATCGGTGAGCCTTCAGACATTGTTCTGGTTCTATGTGCTGAATTCGTCTGAAGTTGGACTCGGAAAAATTACGAGGGTCTTGGCATGGTTTTACTGCCAGCAAAGACACTTTTGTCAATTCGGTCGCTCGGTCGGCGCAATCATAAGCAATAATCTCTGGGCGTGCTGTCCTCAAGTAGTAGAGAAAAATCAAAACAAATTTTATGATTTTCATGTTTCCCTTCTTTCAAATCTAAAACATTAAAAAAAAAACTATATATGCTCACTTAACCTAACCGTTTGAATTTTAATCTAAAATTGAATACATATTGAATACATATCGACGACAACGACTACAATCCGGTATCCAGTTCTGCTAATTTATACTGATTTCTTGTGCGTTTAGCGATATTTCTCTATACAAATATCAAAAACTGACAACCACAAAACAATAAATACATTATTATAACATTTCTACCCTACCCCTATTTAAGTCTAATCCAAGGAGTCTAAAACATAATCTTCAAACCTTTTTGGTAACTGTCTTATTCGTTGAGGTCGAATTTGCTGTTCTAAAGGCTCCGGGTTTCATATGTTTATAGAAACTTGAGCTACATCATCATTTTCCTCTCGATCTGCATCCAAGGACCTCATAGAATCATTTTCATGATTATCAATTATTTGGTTATCATCATCAACACCATCTCTTGAAATATTCGAGGATCTATTCAAGGGATCCGTATCTGCTACATTTCTATTACTTTCGATATTTTCATTTTCTAAGACTGACGACATTCTATCAGTTCTGTCTACATTCTCCTCACTTTCATCCGTCACAATTTCTTCTTCACTTTCACTTTCACAGTCTAAAGGAAAATAATTTTCCTTAATTCGATATTTTAGAGGAACATTTGCCAATTGATTGCTAGTTTCTTCCGTCGCTAAACATAATTTTAAACGGTTGACATGTACCTTTTTCCTATGTTTTCCATGAGCTTCTGTAATTTCTGCATTTACACCTGTTAGTTTACTGATTCTGTATGGTCCGGTCCATTTCTCTGCCAATTTCTTACTGATTCCAACTTTATCCGCTGGTTCGTATAAATAAACCTTATCACCTAGTTTAAATTTATGTGGAATAGGCTCGTTCAGTGAAGTTTCATTTACCACGTTTTTTGATATTTTTATGGAGTATTACTCACATATAGCACACACCAAAAATTTCAGCGCAATTAGATAAATATTAAAAAAGTTATGCCACAGAAATTCATCGCTTAAAGATGGTATGACGTCATCTCTCGAGTCAAGACGGGCTAAAGGCCGTCACACGACCAACGTGAGAGATGCAGTGACGTCACCGCGTGTTTCAAAACTTCCAAATTTGGAGCGTTTCGATAATTTATTTAAATATGAACAAGGGCTCGGAAAATTATGAAATTTTGCACAACTGCTAAACTCAATACGCTCTTTTAGAATATGTGATAAAAAAAATATGCTTCTTTCTATATTATTTAAAGCATTTTTATGGGCAATTTTCATTCTTTGTAGAAATTCTGAAACATAATTTGTATCAGTATTGTACTTGACCCTTAAAGGTTTAAAAATCTCGTCAAACGGATATTCCATATCTCTGCCAAAAAGTAAAAAGAATGGACTTTCTTCTGTCGTGTTGTGAGTCGCTGAACAGTACGATGCAAGGGCGAAAGGTAACCATTCGTCCCAGTCTCGCTGTCCAGGCTCAATATAATGTGATAACAAATCCTTCAGAGTTCTGTGAAATCTCTCTAAAGCACCATTGGTCTGCGGTCTATATGCAGTGGTTTTGAGATGATTAATTTGTAAATTCTCAAAAACACTTTGCATCAATTTTGACATAAAGTTAGAGCCTAAATCCGTTAAAAGCTGATGTGGTGTTCCATGTCTTAGGATAATTCCTTTAATAAAAGCTTTTGCAACTGTTTCTGCTGTTTGATCCGATAAAGGAAACGCTTCCACGTATTTTGTTAGTGCATCTTGAACTGTTAAAATATATTTGTTTCCCTGTAATGTAACAGGTAAAGGTCCTACCACATCCATAGCAATTCTGTAGAAAGGGTATTTGGGAATGGAAAATTTCTGTAGCGGGGCAGGTTTTTGATGACTGGATGTTTTCCGCCTTGCGCATGGATCGCAAGCATTTATATATCGACGAATGTCTTCCGTCATATTTGTCCAGTAGAAAAATTTTCTTATTCGTGCGTATGTTTTATCAAAACCCATATGTCCCGAAAAAGGCAAATCATGATAAAGTCGTAGAATATGTGGTATCAAATATTTAGGTGCTAAAAGTATATCATTGTTAGTTCTGTCATTAGAAACTTTGTAAACTAATCCGTCTAAGTCGATGTAGTAATCATTCCTTTTTCCTTGAATAATTTTTTCAATAAGGCTTTTAATATTTTTATCAGCGTATTGTTGTTTTTTAATTGTGTCTCTACACCATATGGGCTCGCACTCATTTTCCTGATAAATTAATCTAATTGGCTTGATTCGCGATAAAGCGTCTACATTTGTGTGTTTCTTCCCACACTTATATTCTATTTTGAAACTGTATTCTGATAAGGCTAACGACCATCGCATGAGTCTATTACTTGGATCTTTTACTGACATAAGCCATTTTAGTGGTTGGTGATCTGTATAAACTGTGAATTCTTGTCCCCAAAGGTAGTTTCTATATTGTTTAATACCCCACAATAGAGCTAAACATTCTCTTTCAGTAGTGTAATAATTCTTTTCGGCTTTATTCAATTTTCTGCTTGCATATGCGACAGGATATTCTTGGCCTTCATATGTGATGTAATATCGCGCCAATCGCGTAGCCAGAAGCATCTACTGACAAATAAAATGGTTTTGTTGGATCTGGATATTTAAGAATTGTTTGATTTATTAGCACTTTTTTTAAGTATTCAAAGGATTCTTCGCAATTTTCATCAAAATTAAATTTAACATTTTTCTTAGTTAGGTGTGTCAAAGCTGCGGAATATTTAGAAAAGTCAGGTATAAATCGTCGATAGTATCCAACTAACCCCAAAAATGATCTGATTTCTGTTATATTTGTCGGTTTGGGATAATTTTTAACTATCTCCGTCTTCTTTGGACAAGGTCTAATTCCATTTTTAGATATTATATGACCTAGGTAAGGTGTTTCGTCTTTGGCAATTACACATTTCTCTGGATTGAGCGTTAATCCAGCTTCTCTCAAAGCTTCAAAAATTTCCTTTAATCTAGATATATGTATATCAATATTTCCTGATGAAAATATTATAATATCATCCAAGTATACGTAGCAATGTGTCCCAATAAACTTGGAAAGAATACACATCATTAATCGTTGCCAGGTAGCTGGTCAATTCACTAACCCAAAAGGCATTCTGTTGCATTCATAATGTCCCCAAGGAACGGAAAATGCCGTTTTTCACGATCTTTTGGCTCTACTTCTACCTGCCAATATCCTTTTGTCATATCGAGAGTGGAGAACATTTCCGCGCCTCCTAAAGAATCTATAGTGTCCTGGATATGTGGAATTGGGAAAATGTCTCATTTCGTAATAGAATTCAATTTGCGGAAGTCAATGCAGAATCTAAATTTCTTTTGTCCATCTAGGCTTTTCTTTTCCACTAAAACTACTGGTGCACTCCACGGTGATATATGTAGAAGGTCTAATTATTTCTTGTTACAACATTTCTTTTATTTGTTTGTCCATTTCTTCTCTCGTAGCATAAGGTATTCTGTACGGAGCTTGTCTGATTGGCAAATGATCCCCTGTATTGATCTTATGAGTAACCATTTGTTTAGCTTTCAATGACGTATTACCCTTTGCAAAAATATCAGAATAACTCTGTAAAAATTGCATCATCTTACTCTTATCCCCTCCTTTTAAATGAGAAACCATATTCTCCACAATATGGCCTTCATACCAACTTGTATGAATTTCACTAAACTTTTCACTGACATAATCCGTTCCATCCGCTCCACAGAGAGCATCAGCGGTGGAACATTCTTTCAGCCTAGTCACATCCACCAAATTTAAAATGGGCGTGTTTTTATAAATGGTCTGCGGTATTGGAGAAGTATTCAGAATACGAACTACTATATTTCTATTTTCTTTTGTTGAATTTTCAGGAATTTCTATTACACTACACGCGGTAAGAATACCGACATCTGTATGATTTAATGGTTCACAGACTTTAATGCCTGCAGGGACCCGGGTGTTTACAGGTATATTAAAATCGCAACCGTGAAAAGCAGGTATTTCCAAGTTTTCACGAAATTTTACTACATGTGGTCCTTTAGATGTACGACCACAATTGGAGAATTGCGCATTTCCTCCTGTAGCAAACTGGTG